TCATCACCAAGGCACGTCACCATCAGGTCAAACACGAGGTACTTAGCCAAAAAATTTATACATCACAAAAAATGGTAGGTGACCAAAAACGGTTACATCAAGTACTAAGCTTTGTTCTTTATTTATATGTGATGGGTATCCTTTGTCCTTTCATTTGGGGTGTGACCAAGGACCAAAAAAGAAGAGGTGTACCCAAATTGGAAGGGCGCTCTACACAGAAACTTTTTAAACTATCTGTGATGAGAGGGGTAATGTGTTTGGAGGTTGATGACTTGATGTGTTAGCTCAGCGACCTTCATCACCTCCATGTAGAAGAAGGGAACTCCATGCAAATAGAAATAGATGTTGGCCGCTGCAACTCATCCATCCCCCTTACATTTAGTGTGGAAATTGCGTAGTTGTACCACATGTACGTGAGTCTGCTAGTGGAGATGAAAATTTTCTCCATCAGAAATTGTTCAATTAATTAAATACACTTGCACTGTTGCACACTTATTTTGTTTTCAAGTTTTTTTTTTTAATATTAAAGGAAACTCTTCATTGAAAGAGACACAAAGAACAAAGTGTTGATCTGAGTGGCCAAATGCCCTCAATTTAAAATAACCTTAGTCTCGATCCCGTCTTGTGCTTATTTACAGTTAAACAAACAATTCCCTTGTCAGCTATTTATTCGCTTGGTGTGGTCAATGTGACCCTCTAGTCTATCAATAAGACAGACGTACAAGATATCTTGAGAAAACCTCATTGGGAGTGCTGCCTCCTTGGATCATAATTGTTTTTCTCTAGTTTCATGTTAGAGGAACTGAGCAAGTGTTCATCCCATTTGATTTGTTCACAGTTGCTTTTGCATGGTCTATCACAAGGAACCCAAGACTAAAACCTATAGCTATAAGATCGACAAAAGCAAACCAAATCCAATTAGACACCACCACACAGAAGCAACAACCTACAACAGTTGAATAATAAGCAAGGCCTCTGAAATCGGCATCAATGAAGAAATCATTAACAAAGAAATGAGGTCATAATCTTTCAACAGAGACCACAAAGCCACCGAAGACTCCCGAAACAATGAAGCACAACCAAAACCCTGAAACACTTAAATCCAAACACACCGTGCAAAGACTATTGACAAAAAAATAAGTAAAAACTTCAGTGAAGGCATACATATAGCTCAAGGAATAATTCTGGTTAATAAACGTTAATAGTTACCGTCTTTCGGTACACCAAAGGTTGCCTAGGTAGGTCGTCCATATACATGTTCCTTTAGTCTTTACTGCAGGATTGGACCCCTCTGGACTTTTGGAGGCACAAAATTAACTTGGTTAATTCAATCCCCAGAAATGCCCACCAGCTCGATTCAAGTCCGGTTTCAAGAAAATCCTTGGTCAGTTGGCCTTGTGATGAATTAGTTGGGTAAGGTTATTTAATTAGTGAAGATTCCTAGACGACCAAAAAATTTTCCAGATGGTAAGATGGTTTATGGCCCAAAAAGAGCCCCATGTGCTCCTTCTCCCACCCTCTATTTATTGGGAAAGTTTCAATCTTAAAGCCCTTGTCAATACAAGGTTAAGATAGGATGGGCTAAGATGAGCCAGGTTTAAGATGTGGCCGATTCAAAGGGTTCCTTCTGCATTGACCTTTCCACTTCATCTCTCTACGTGGAAAAGAAACTGTAGATTGTTCTGACCCGACGACTAGTTAGTTAGAAAACAATTAAGGGGGTGTTCTATTTGCTTTTGTTATAGAAAGCAGTACATGCTTTTAGAACCATTAAAATAATGGTTTTTAAAACATAAACTAATTTTCTAGTGTAGAAATTATATAATTTATGTATTGTGATCATGGTTTTTAAAACTGGACTGGAAAAATCAGAAACAGGTTATTTGATTGGTTCCATTTTATCCTAAAACCACTTTTGGCCAAAAACTTTTGATTTAGTCAGTGAATCCAGGTGGTCAAACTATGGACCCAAACAACAGTTTTTGGCTGTTTTTATTATTTTTTTTTCAGTCAGAACAGGCCATCCGTTTGACCCAGGAACCAGTTCCCAGAATGGTTTCCTGTGCAGTCCAATTTTAAAAACCTTGATTTTGTATTAAATAAGCAGATGAAAACATGTTTTTTGACACTAAAAATTCAATAACATATTCCTTTATTTCAATTTTAAAAATAAAATTATAAAAGACATACACACAACTAAGCAAGGTTCAAAGTATTGGAAACGCTATGCATATCGGAAAGGCAAATTTAAGAGATGTATCGGGATACGTCTTGAATACGCATGAATACGGACGAAAAATTAAGATACGCATGAAAACACATGGAAATGCTATAAATACTCTAATAAATCATAAATAAACATCAATATCACTAAATATAAGACGTAAATGAGCTATTTATGCATAAAAATAACACATTTTAGTGGGTTTTATGAAAAAACATATTATAATCAATAAACGGGAAGTTGGGAATAGAAACATACTATCTAATTATGGACATAATAGATCAAGTAATTATTTTGCATGTTTTATTCTAATTCTCTAAAAGCTAAATAATTATTTATTTTTATTCAAATAAATATTTTGCATGTTTTATTCTAAAAATTAAATTAAAATTAGGAAAAGTAAATATGTAACAAAAAATTGAATGTATTTATGGACATAATAGATGAAATAACTATTTTGCATATTTTATTCTAAAATTAAAAAAAATAAATATCAATGTTTTAAAACACAGAGGCATTCCACTACCTAGAGGCGTGAAGCATAGTTCAGAATGCAAGAGGCGTAAGCTTCCTTAAGAGGAGGAAGGAGGAAGGAGGAAGGGGGGAT